CTTAATAGATAACATCGTTCTTTCTCGATTCCTGCTACCAAAAAGTGGTAAGCTGTCGTCCAGTACAACCAGTTATCGCTCAGGGTTAGATGGATTTCCATAGCTGTAGTGAAGATAGTTCGTCTTTGAGAAGGAAAACTCCAATGAAACCAGGAATAAACCGTTTAAATCAACTGCCATTGCAAGACAGGTTGGCAGTCAGGTGTTTAATTATTCTTTCGATAAGTTATTAGTTCTAGGTAAATCAACATTGACTCTCTCCCACATAAATATTTCAAACATAGGTATTTTGAATAATTTTCATTTAGTATAACTTTCCTTTCGATTAATTTTCATTCAAACAATTTCCAATTCGAATAAATGTTTTTCAAATAATTATTTTCGAACATTGTTCACATAATCGGATTTATTACAAGAGGGCCAAGCCTTGCTTAATGCCACATACGATAAAGTTCAGATATTTTGTTACAATATTTTAAAATAAATATTAAGAAATGCTGGTATGCAATAATATTTGTCTATATTTCTGAGATGAGGTATTATGTACACTACTTACATTATTCGAACTATTGTCCTCATATTTGCTGCCATATTTATCACAACGTTTCGGCCGTTGTACGCTCCGGCCTTCTTCAGGTGCTATGTGTCCTCAAAGACACATGGCACAGTGGATAAAGGCGTTAGTTAGATCCAGTGACAGGAACCAAACAGTGTGAGTTCAATACCTGGTTAAGGCGGGGGAGAATTAACAGGAGATAACTGATAACTGACATCCATTAGACATGGCACGTGGAACGTTCTAGTCTACCCCAGTGAGCCAAATAAAGGGTTCAGTTCGACATTCCAACCACCTGAAGAAGGCCGAAACGTTGTGATAAATATGGCAACAAATATGAGGACAATAGTCCGAATAATGTAAATAGGGCAATAATATTTATTCATGCACGCAGTTTTTTAAACTGTTATTTGTCTTGGTTTCAATAATCGCAAAGTACATATACACACGCATATATATATATATATATATATATATATATATATATATATATTTTTCAAAATCTTGACTGATGATTGTCTTAACTATATAATTTATGCGGTAATAAACTACGGAAACTTCTAAAAAATATGTATGAATTTGCATTCCATTAACATAAAATTATATCCCTTAACCCCTTACCCATGACCTCAGTCTTCTGACATTTCTCTGTGACACCTGCTGACCGGAAATTGATTTAATCCCTCTTCCTCCCACCATTTCTTCCTTCAACACGAAAGAACAATGCCTCACTCAGATCTAGCATTAAAATAGGATTTAATTTCTTTAATATTTTTTTACTAACCATGAACATTAAATTTACGTTTTAATCTAAAGGGGTCTCAATTCATTCTATCATTTTCCTGCTCCGCGTTCACGATGTTCTGATCCCCAGGTAGCACAACGTCTATCAGGGCGATTGCTATCCAATCGCTTGTCAATGAAGTTGGTCGTATTCCACATGAACTTCTTCTTCTTCTTCTTCTTCTTCGTCATCTACTCATGTTTCTTGTTCTTCTTCGTCTTCTCCTCCTTATCGTTCTTGTTTTTTTTTCTTCGTCGTCGTCGTCGTCTTCTCCCTCTTCTTCTTCTTCGTTAATTTCAACTTTACTCTTAATAACAGTACATATATATATATATATATATATATATATATATATATATATATATATATATATATATATATATATATATGTAAATGAGCATTAAACTTACCATTTAATCTAATGGCGTCTCAATTCATTCTATCATTTTTCCTGCTTCGCGTTCACGCCTTTCTTATCCCCAGGTAGCGCAACGTCTATCAGGGTATATCACGTCTATCAGGGCGATTGCTCTCCAATCGCTTGTCAATGAAGGTGGTCGTATTCCACATGAACTTTACTTGCTCTTTCTCGACAACTGATGGTTGTGAATGCTTGTACGCTTTCTCTGTGCATTTGAAGACACATGGTTCCCAAAATATTCTGAACATTAATATGTCATTGAGTCATCTGTACACTTTCTGCGCCAGCTGGGTTCAGTCACTGGCAATGCGCTGCACACTTTCAGTAGTTTTCCTACAACCCCCCTAGCAGCGGAGTATCTGATAGAATTTGTTCTCGAAGCCTACTTTTGCGCTGTACTCATCATTCCTTCAAGAACCGTTCTTCTTTGTCATTTGGCTCAGAAAAATACCTTCACCATACTTTACAACCCTGACTACACAAAAATTGTACAGTAAAAAGTGAGTTGTTCCGAGAAAAAAACCCAGAGACGCCCGCGTTTATCGCTAGGGATCCAAAAGTGTACATAAGTATTTTTGATACACCCAGTATATGTAAATTAATATTAAGATGAACTGAACATTGAATTCAAGCATGAAACAGACGGTCAGTGATCAGTGTTGACTCAATGTCCTTTTTTTATATATACATACGCTCTATCAGCATTTATATATATATATATATATATATATATATATATATATATATATATATATATATATATATATCAAGTATATGATTGGTGTATATGGAATGAATTCAATAACCAACAATTACTATTCTTAAAAGAGTGCTCAATACAAAATAGAGCAACACTCAATCATAAGACACCGAGGGTGTTGAAAAACAAAATAATATTTTAAAAAGTGATTTTATAACATATTTATGTTATAATTTTTTTTAAATAAAAAATTTATATATATATATATATATATATATATATATATATATATATATAAGATCAACAATGTTAGAATAAATATCTACCATCGCCTGTGAGGACAATTTGTTGAGAAACATGGAAAAATATGTAAAAATATTATAATAATATTTTTCTCTAGTTATATTTTTTTAATAAGAACTGTCTTTATTCTTTTTATTTCTTTCCATTTATTATTTATATTTTAATAATTTTTTATATATACACACACACACACACATATATATATATATATATATATATATATATATATATATATATATATATATACATATATATATATATATAATAATAATATATATATATATAATAAAAACGAAATAAAAGTATAAAATTTATATTAAAACATATTAAAAAATAAAAAATAAAAAAAAAAAAACAAAAACATAACTTTTTAAAAGCAACCGGTTTTCGCCCCCGCTCTTCAAGGCTTCAACAGGAAATTCAAAATTAATACAAAAATGTACAATAAGGAATAGAAAAATATATATATATATATATATATATATATATATATATATATATATATATATATATATATATATATATAGAGAACTAGAGACAGATGACAGCGGGTCCCAGCAAACACTCACGTTGTTTGCACAAAAGAAGGCTTGCGGGACCCGATGTAAAAGTGCCTCAGAACCTTCAGATGAAATAAAAAGTGCGACCAGGCCAACACGGTGAATCAGTCAACACTAAATTTAGCTGCACAATCTCTGCTATTTAAAAGATGTTCGCATATATATATATATATATATATATATATTTAAATAAGTTTTTTTATGGTACAAAATTTAATGATAGCTAGAAATAAGCAAAATTAATATGCCATTTTTTAAAAAGCTAAAAAAGAACAACCGGTTTCGTCCCAGGACTTATCAAGTTTATTTTCTGGGATATAAAAAAATAATCGTATAAATTTAATTAATTTTAATGATAACGAATGGGGGGGGGAATGAATTTCAAGAAAGCTAGAGTCCAATATCATTCAGACCCTGTAAGCATTCACTCTGTTTACAGAGGGTATGGCCCACGGGATCTGATATACAAGAAGTCTAGAACCTTGTGGTGCTATTATGAGTGAGACCTAGATAAAATCGAGAAACGGTCCACACTAAATTCAAAAACACAGTTCCTGCTATATATATATATTTATATATATGCGTGTAAATTTTCGAAAGGCGCGAATTTAAAGAAACGGAATGGACTACAATTTTAAATCGACTTATTGGATAAACACAAACATACATTGCTAGGGTCTCGAAGGACTGACCGTTAACAACTGCCATCTATTAAGAAGGACTTTATTATTGACAAAAAAAAAAAAAGAAATCGCTTTAAATGATTCTATAGTTTCAGACTTTGAGCAAGAATCCTTTGTGACTCACCATAAGGCATACTTTTGTCTTGTACAGATAATTCCTGAAGTTTTCTTCTTCGAGAAATCGTTCCTCGGCCACCAAAATGATTAGCGACCAGCCAGCTCTTGTTTTTAGGCAAATGATCCGTGCATCGGCCTTCTCATCATAAATCCTCTTCATATAATCTACCATGACGTTTCATCAGCGCAGTTAAGTTTTCATTCAGCCTACATTTTAGCATCCACCTCTTCCTGGCTATTTCTGCAAGTATTGGTGTAAGCAATTACATTCTTATGCCGCAGACTCTTCTGCCCCTATCAAACGTTTCCCCCCACTTAACTGGGTAGCCAAATTTCGGCCACATTACTCCGAGGATATAAGTGACCCTTTTCTGGCCATTCTTTGTTGTACGGTTCAAGTTTGTTAGGTCCTTTTAGGAGCAGTTAACAATCCGTGTGCCATACTTTACAACCCCGACTGCCCAAGCATTGTAAACTGAAACTAGATTTCCCCCCATTCACCTTAGATTTACAAAGTTTTATCTACACGTTGAACCTCCTCCTCTTTTATCCGGCATTTCATCTTGGCATTTAGTGTCTCGCCCCTGTCAAGGTATTTAAAACCGCTGCTATCTACCTCATTCATATATTCCATTCCGGGGAGCTCTATTCCTCTGATAGCCACATTTCGTCCCCTCTCTATTTCCAGCACAGCACACTTATCGGGCGATAGAACCGAAGGGCATTATTATTATTATTATTATAATTATTATTATTATTATTATTAATAATAATAATATTTTATTCTTCTTCTCACACTCAATTCCTTTCTACTTCCCTGTTCTCTTTCTCTTTCAACATCTGCATCACCTTAAACAAGTGTTTCTCATTCTTTTTATGTCTCTTTTGTATGTTTCTCCTTCTTCTTCTCCTTCTTCTCCTTCTTCTTCTTCTTCTCCTCCTCCTCCTTCTTCTCTTCATTCTTCTTCTTCTCATTCTTCTTCTTCTCATCCTCCTCCTCCTTCTCCTTCTCCTCCTTCTTCTTCTTCTCCATCTTCTTCTTCTCCTCATTCTTCTTCTTCTCCTCCTCCTTCTCCTTCTCCTAATTCTTCGTCTTCTCCTCCTCCTCCTTCTTCTCCATCTTCTTCTTCTCCTCATTCTTCTTCTCCTCCTCCTCCTCCTCCTTCTTCTTCTTTTCTATGTCGTCTACTCCTGCTTCTTCTTCTTCTTCTTCTTCTTCTTCTTCTTCTTCTTCTTCTTCTTCGTCGTCGTCGTCGTCATCGCCGTCTTCTTCTTCTTCTCCTCCTTCTTATTTTTTTTTTTTTTTCGTCGTCGTCGTCTGCTCCCTCTTCTTCTTCTTCTTCTTCTTCTATGTCGTCTATTCCTGCTTCTTCTTCTTCTTCTTCTTCTTCTTCTTCTTCTTCTTCTTCTTCTTCTTCTTTCTTCTTCTTCTCCTCCTTCTCATTGTTCTTGTTTTTTTTCTTCGTCCTCCTTCTTCTTCTTCTTTTCTTTTTTTTTTTTTTCTTCTTCTTCTTCTTCTTCTTTTCTTCTTCTTCTTCTTCTTCTTCTTCTTCTCTTCAGCTCATTCATTTTCTGTTTCTTCTATGCCTTCATCTTTCATCATTCTCATGTTACTTAACTCTCCTCCTCTTTCTTCTTCTCTGATCTTTTCCTCTTTATAGCACTCATATATTCACTCATTGCTCCTTTTTTTCTTTCCTATTTTTTATACTTTTTTCCTACTCGCGATAACCACTCACTAAATCTTTCTTCCTTTCCTTCTCCATCTCAAATGACCTCTCTTTCAACTTCTTCTTAAGTAACAATATATATATATATATATATATATATATATATATATATATATATATATATATATATATCCTTTATTCTTTATTGCATACAAAATCTGTCGATCGATCACCTTTTTGATTTGGTGTCGACTTCTTTTCTTTCAGGCTAAGTTCCTTTCATCTCGAATGCGTTCCGGTTAAAGCATCAAAAAGCGCGCGAATTCTTTTTTATTTTATTTACTTGACAAAAAATTTTTTTTTTTGACTGATTGTTTTTTATTAAATTGGAATTGTTTCTTTGTTCCTCGCCATATCTTCTTAGCGCCTGATGCGTTTTCGGTTGTTCGTCTGTCGAAAGAAAAAACTTATTGATTGTATTAAGAAGATTTTAATGGAGAAAAAAAAAGAAAGAAAGGTAAAAACAAAAAAGAAAACGCCCGGATTTTCTTCCAGACAAGCATTTCTTTCTTTAAGGAAAAAAGGAATTTTTTCAAATGAAAACGACATAGATAGAAGAAGAAGAATTTTTAAAATTTCAACTTTTCAACAACAACGGCTTCTTAGACGACATTTGAAGGAGGAGTTTTAAGGAGAAAGAAAAAACCAGGAATAGACGACATAGAAGAAGAAGAAAAAAGAGAAGAAGAAGGAAGAAAGAAGAAATGAAGAAGAAATAAGAAGAGAGAAAGAAAGAGGAAAGGAAGAGGACGTTTTTTAGAAGAAGGAAGAAAAGGAGAAAAAAAAACGATAAGAATTTGGTGGAAAGATTAAATGAATAAAGAAAGAAATTTTAGTGCTTTTTTTAGAAAATGGAGAATCTTCAAAAGAAAAAGGGGAACAATTGAATGAAAAAGAAAGCAAAAGAAGAGATGGAAAAATGGACTGCTCACAGTCTTAGAAAAATGTTTCTAAAACAAAACGCATTGAATAAATTTATTAGAAAACTTGTCTGCTAGATCACTGCTCAATCTCTTTTATATATATCTATATATATCTTGGACACCTATTCATAATGTAATTTGTTTAAAAATTTTTCTTATCTATTTTAAAATTTTCATTCATTATATCTATCTGTCTCTTATCTATCTATCTATCTCTTTTCATAATCTATCTGTTTATCTATGCCTTTTCATATCTATTTTAGTCTTTTCATATCTATCTATCTATCTATCTATCTATCTATCTATCTATCTATCTATCTATCTCTTTTCCTATATATTCATCCCAGCAATTTAAGAATAAATATATTTTTTTTTCTCTCTCTCTCTCTCTCTCTGTATGTGTGTTCGTGCGTGTGTGCTTATGTGTGCGTCGATGAATACATGTGCAGATTGCAATAGATAGATAGAAAAAAAACTGGGATAGATAGATAGAGAGATAATCAATTATTTTTTATAAAATAATTTCCCGTTCCTTTCTGTCTAAGATATTTCCCATTTGCCATAGCAATATGGATGTAGACATTAAAGTAGATAAAAGTCTTAACGAATTTCATCAATCCTAGTAGAGATGGGACAGGTTTCAAAACAACATTGCTCTCTTGTTACCACGTAATAATGTGCTCTTTTGCCAGATGCGATTGATGATCGAAGTAAGGAAATAAAAATTGCTTTCCCGATGATATTCGGAAAAGAAACCACAAAAAAAAAAAAAAATGAGAAATTAATTTTGACAAAGATTCTTTTGGGACTGCACTGCACGAATGAAACTAGCTTTTAGGTTGCTTTAAAATTTAGAATTTGTGATCCAAGCGGAAACGAAATGACACCCAGTGAGATTACGTTGATTTGAAGTCGGACTTTGACAAAGACGACTATAATGGCTTCCGTATTTTGTTTTCATTACTGTTTTGCAAAAACGGCCATCTTGAATGATTTTTTTTTACCCGCAGTTTTTATTATGGTATTTTGTTTTGTTTATATATATTTTTTTTTTCGTTTTGGATCGCAATTAATTTTCTGTTGATGTCTTGATGTTATAATTTATATAATGTGTTGTCCCGTTCTTTCTTTAGTTTGTTTCTAAGTCATCTTCTAATATGATTTGTTCTCTATTTTTTCAACTAATCTTTCGTTTTTCTCTTCATTAAGGGATAAGATTAAAGAAAGAAAGACGCATAATAAGAAAGAAAGACGATTCATAAAAAGAAAGAAAGATGATACATAGAACGAAAGAAAGAAAGAAAGAAAGAAAGAAAGAAAAAGATTCCGAAAAAGAGAAGAAAAACATTAATAGTTACAATAGAACAAAGGTTGACAATCTTTCTAATTTGTTCTCTACTATGTCCATTCATTTTTCTTTACTTCTATAGACTTTTTCATTCATTCAATCATACTTTCTTTCTTTCTTTCTTTCTTTTTTTCTTTCTTTCTTGATTTTCTTTTAGATAGCATTTCTTTTTTTTTCTATTAGTTATATAGATTTTCTTTCATTCTTTCTTTTTCTTTCTTCCTTTTTTTTTTTTTCTTTCATTCTTTATTTCTTTCTTTCCTTCTATAAATCGTCTTTCATTCTTTCTTTTTTTCTTTCTTTCTTTACTTCTATGTATCGTCTTTTATTCTTTCTTTCCTTCTATAGAACGTCTTTCATTCTTTCTTTTTTTCCTTTCTTTCTTTACTTCTGTGGATCGTCTTTTTCTTTCTTTTTCTTTCGTTCTATAGATCGTCTTTCATTCTTTCTTTTTTCCTTTCTTTCTTTACTTCAATGGATCGTCTTTCATTATTTCTTTCTTTCTTTCCTTCTATAGATCGTCTTTTTTTTTTCTTTCTTTCTTTTCTTCTATAGATCGTCTTTCATTCTTTCTTTTTTCCTTTCTTTCTTTTCTTTGGATTTCTTTCATTTCTTTTTTTCTTTTTCGTTCTATAGATGTTTTTTCATTTTTCTTTTTTTCCTTTCTTTCTTTACTTCTATGGATCGTCTTTCATTTCTTTATTTCTTTCTTTCCTTTTTTTTTAGATCGTCTATAATTCTTTCTTTTTCTTTTCTTTCTTTACTTCTGTGGATCGTCTTTCATTCTTTCTTTTTTCCTTTCTTTTTTTTTTGGATTCTTTCATTTTTCTTTTTTTTCTTTCTTTTTCTTTTTCTTTCTTTTTTCTTTCTTTCTTTTCTTCTATCTTTCTTTCATTCTTTCTTTTTTTTTCTTTTCTTTTTTTTCTTCTTTGATCGTCTTTAATTCTTTATTTCTTTTTTCCTTTTTTCTTTCTTTTTTTTTCTTTTTTTTTATTTTTCCTTCTATTTTTTTCTTTCCTTTTTTGATTTTAGATAGATGTCTTTTTATTCTTTTTTTTCTTTTTTTCTTTTTTCAATGGATCGTCTTTCATTCTTTCTTTCTTTCATTCTTTCCATTCTTTCTTTTTTTTTTCTATGTGGATCGTCTTTCATTTTTATTTCTTTCTTTTTTCCTTCTATTTTCTTTTCTTCTTTTTTTTTTTTTTCTTTTAGATCTTCTTTCATTCTTTTCTTTTTTTTCTTTTTTATTTTTTATTTATCGTATTTAGAAATTTTCTTTCTTTCTTTCCTTCTATGGATCGTCTTTCATTCTTTCTTTCTTTTTTCTTTCCTTCTATAGATCTTCTTTCATTCTTTCTTTTTCTTTTCTTTCTTTACTTCATTGATTTCTTTCATTCTTTTATTTATTTCCTTTCTTCTATAGATTTCTCCTTTCTTTCTTTTTTCCTTTTCTTTTTAATTTGGATCGTCTTTTTCATTTTTCTTTCTTTCTTTCCTTCTTTATCGTTTTTTCTTTTCTTTTTTTTTCTTTCTTTACCTCAATTTCTTTCATTTTTCTTTCTTTCTTTATAATCGTTTTTCATTCTTTCTTTTTCTTTTCTTTCTTTACTTCTGTGGATCTTCTTTTATTTTTTTTTTTCTTTCTTTTTTTCCTTTTTGGATAAATCTTTCATTTTTTTTTTTCTTTCATTCTTCTTTGGTCGTTTTTCATTAATTCTTTTCTTTTCTTTCTTTCCTTCTGTGGATCGTTTTCATTCTTTCTTTCTTTTCTTTCCTTTTTTAGATATCATCTTTTTCATTTTTTTTTTTCTTTTCTTTTTTTACTTCTATTGATCGTCTTTCTTTTCAAGATTTTCTTTCTTTCCTTTTTTTTTCTTTTTTCATTCTATGGATCTTTTTTTTTCTTTCCTTCTATGGATCTTCTTTCATTCTTTTTCTTTTCTTTTCTTTCTTTCCTTCTATAGATATAATTTTCATTCTTTTTTTTTTTTTTTTTCTTTTCTTTCTTTTTTCTTTCTTTCTTTCAAATTTTTCCTTCTATAGATTCTTTTCTTTCATTCTTTCTTTTTTCCTTTCTTTCTTTACTTCTATAGATCGCCTTTCATTCTTTCTTTATTTATTTCTTACTTTACATCTATAGATTGTCTTTCTTTCTTTTTTTTATCAGTTGTCTTTCTTTCTTTCTTTCTTTCTTTCTTTCTTTTCTATGCGTTTTACTTTTCTTTTATCTTTTTTATATTTCCTTTTTTTCTTTTTTTTTCTATTTTTCGTTCTTCCATTCAATATTTTTCGTTGTGTGTGTGTCTCCTCGATAATGTTGTTGTCGCGAAACAAAAAATGCATATTACATATGTTATGGTCCAATATCCTTGTTTCACGGTGATGGTCCAATGGTTAGAACCAATGAAAGAATAGCACGAACACAGGTATGGAATACAAAGATATATTACAACAGAAATATAATACAAAGAAGTAGAAGTATTCGTAATGACTATCAGAGTTGGCTAGCGTGAACTATGTTGTCTCGACAAGTATCACTATTCCAATGTCCTTACAATATACTCTCAATTATCTCTCCTCGACTTATAATCTCCTCTGATACCTCTTGAGAGGGGCAGTATTTATAATGTCAGGAATAGTCCATTATTATTATTATGGGTAAGTTCCTATAACAATTTACCTTTTGGCCAGAGATACAATCTCGCAAAGGACCTTTACATTGATATACAGTGTTCGTCTTTTACAAAACATTAGTTTTGCGTTTTGCAAAAGGCCAACATAGTATATCAAGGTTAATGTCCACAAGGTTAATCTCTGAAAGGTTGAATATAGTTGCTTTCAAGACAACAATATATATTTTGGCAGCGACATTACTTTCAAACATGTTTTGTTGAACATAAGAAATAAGGAAAATTTTATTCATTTTTATTTTTTTTCTAATATTGTTACCTTTTCCGTCTGGTTGGAATAAGACAAATTGTTCTTGTCTGTCATATTCAAAAAAATATATATATATATATATATATATATATATATATATATATATATATATATATATATATTTCACCATTAGGCCTTCCTGCTCTTCTTTCTTCTGTTACACCTCTCTCTAGAGCTTTCTCACACTTGTTTCCCATTCTCACTATTTTTTTTTTTATACCCAGAGTTATATTTTCCGATTTCTTTTTGAACTTGTAGGTCTGATGTATTGGATCGTGATTACGATTCCAACCTAATAAATTATAACCATATATGTATAAATGTATGTATGTATATATTACGTTTTTGATTTCCATATAGTAAAAATATTCTTGTAAACTGTCAGACGTATACTTTTATGAAGAAGCCATTAGCAATAAGGCTTTGTCATTCATAGAAATGAAAATTACTCAAAGAAACTAGTTTGATGCCACTAGTTATTTCAAAGTACTTTTACTGAATATTTTTCCATCTTTTGTATTTAGTAATTATTCACCCTCTTTTGCATTACGCAATTATATTGGGTTTGCTTTTCATCACTTCCTCCGATACAGCCTATCCTTTTGCGCATGCGTGCAATTGAAGGTCGCGTTCCATTCTTTGGAGGCTTTCCACTGATTTACGAAATGGTTACTTTTTATCAATTCACCTGTGAAAGACGCCATTATGAATATGTTAACTCTCCCATTCTGCTGCTATTTTATTTTTTTTCGTATCAAACAGATACAAGCTGTTCCAAATGGAATCTCGTCCCGCCTTTCGTCGGATGGACAAGATGGCTGATGATACATCTTGGTGTTCTTTGATTTTGTAACTTTTTGCTTTCTGTGTTGTATACCTTTTTTTTGCTTCATAGCTAAGATCTCTTATCTTTCTTCTTCTTCTTTTTGCGGTTCTTTCTTCTTCTTCTACTTCTGTTGCTTCTTCTTCATCTTCTTCTTGCTTTTTCTTCTTGTTTTTTCATGCGATTTTTTCTTCTTCTTCTTCTTAGATTTTTCTTCTTGCTTCTTTTTGTTTTTCTTCTGCTTTCTTTTCTTCTTCCTCTTGTTTTTTTCTTCTTGCTTTTTTCTTCTTTTTTCTTTTCTTCTTCTTCTGGCCTTTTCTTCTTCTTCGATTTTTCTTCTTGGATCTTCTTGCTTTTTCTACTTCTTTCTTTTCGTCTTCCTTTTGCTTTTTCTTCTTGATTTTACTTCTTGCTTTTTCTTATTTCTTATCTTCTTCCTCTTGCTTTTTTTCTTGCTTTTTTCTTCTTCTTGCTTTTCTTCTTCTTTCTTTCTTTCTTTCTTTCTTCTTCTTTCTTTTTCTTCTTGCTTTTTTTCTTCTTCTTGCGTTGTCTTCTTCCGCTTGATTTTTCTTCTTGCTTTTTCTTCTTGTTTTTTCTTCTTTGTACTTTTTCTTCTTGCTTTTTTCTTGCTGATTTTTTTTTCTTCTATTTCTGGTGTTTTCTTCTTTTTTCTTCTTCTTGCTTTTTTTTTCCTCAACACTTTCTGTACGCCTCTTTCTTCTATTTTTTTTTCTTTCTACGTCAAAAACAGAGCAAGGGAAAGCGTCAAGAATAAAGTACAAGGCTGAGAGAATGAGAGTTGAAAGAAATATATGATAGAGAAGTAGTCATGATACAAGTACTAGAGAGAGAGAGAGAGAGACGAAATTTATCATGAAAAAAAAAAGAGAGACAGACAGAGATGAAGCAAATACTTACGGGTCGCTTAAGGCTGAAATTTAATTTTATTGGGAGCTTTCGTAAATTTTTTTTTTTTTTTTCGAAAATAAATTGCTGGTCATTTTTTTTTTATTATAAAAACAATTTTTTTATTTTTTAATGTTAATCCCAGTTTAGGGTTTTACTATTTACCCATAGGTGGGACCCTAACAGATGCAACCCCCCCAGGTCAGGGTCGACCTGGGAACAACAGTAAATAAGAGGTAGTTCACCGCTCCTAAAAACCTCCCGATCAGATGTAGTTTATCGTCAGGCCGAATGTGGAAGAGAGAGAGAGCGAGAGAGAGAGAGAGAGGGGGGTTAGCACACAAGTACAAGTAGAGAGTGCATTGGAAAGTACAAGAGAGAAGGAGAAAGAGAGGGAGTCATGAAAAGAGAGAGTGAGAAAAAAAATGAGACATGAATTAAACCAAATAGAATTTGTTGTTCTTCTTCTTCTCCTGGTTCTTCTTATTATTTCTTCTTCTTCTTCATCTTTTTCTTCGTTATCACCTTCTTCTTCGTCGTCTTCTTCTTCTGCTTCTTCGTTGTGGCTGTTGTACTTCTTCTTTTTCTTCTTCTTCGTTGTTATTGTTCTTTTTTGTTGTTGTTTTTCTTTTTCTTTTTTCTTCTTCTTTCTTCTTTGTTTCTTTTTCTTCTTTCTTGTTGTTCTCGTAAGTTGTTGTTTCTTCTTCTTCTTCTTCTTCTTCTCTTTGTTGTCGTTATTCTTCTTCGCTGTTGTTATTTTTCTTCTTCTTTTTGCTTCTTCTTCTTCTTTGTTATTTTTTCTTCTTATTATTCTTCTTCTTTGTTGTTGTACTTCTTTTTCTTGATCTTCTTTCTTCTTGATCTTCTTCTCCTTGTTGTCGTTGTTGTTCTTCATTGTAGTTGTTTTTTTCTTCTTCTTTCTTCTTCTTTGTTTTTTTCTTCTTCTTTGTTGTTGTTTATTCTTTTTTCTTCTTATTATTATTTCTCCTTCTTCTTTGATGTTGTTCTCCTTTTTGTTGTTGTTTTCTTCTTTCCTTTTTTTTTTTTTGTTCTTCTTTTCTTTCTTGTTTTTCCTTTCTTCTTTTTTTTCTTTTTTCTTTTTTTTTCTTCTTCTTCTTTTCTTTTTCTTTTTTTTTTTTTGTTTTTTTTTTTCTTCTTCTTTCTTCTTCCTTTTCTTCTTCTTCGTCTTTACCTTTTTTTTCTTCTTTCGTATTCTTTCTTTTCTTTTCTTTTTCTTCTTGTTTTTTTCCTTTCTTCTTTACCTCCTTTTTTTTTCTTCTTTTATTTTTCTTCTTTCGTCTTTCTTCTTGTTTTTTCTTTCTTCTTCTATTCTATTCTTTCTTCTTCTTCGTCTTTCTTCTTGTTGTTTTTTTCCTTTCTTCTTCTACCTCCTTTTTCTTCTTCTTCGTCGTATTCTTTCTTCTTCTTCGTCTTTCTTCTTGTTGTTTTTTCCTTTCTTCTTCTACCTCCTTTTTCTTCTTCTTCGTCGTATTCTTTCTTCTTCGTCTTTCTTCTTGTTGTTTTTTCCTTTCTTCTTCTACTTCCTTTTTCTTCTTCTTCATCGTATTCTTTCTTCTTCTTCGTCTTCTTATTCTTTGTTTTTTTTCTTCTTCTACCTCTTTCTTCTTCTTGTTCTTTTCTTTTCTTCGTCTTTCTTCTTCTTGTTCTTTTCTTTTCTTCTACCTCTTTTTTTCTTCTTCGTCGTCGTCTTATTCTTTCTTCTACTTCTTTTCTTTTCTTCTTACTCTTTTTTCTTGGAAAATTTGATACTCACGGGACTGGTTGAAGGCAACATGAACAGACGAAACCAACGCATAACCTATCTAGTGAGCTTGTGTAAATGGATGGCAAAACAGGTTTTAGGAGAAATAAAAGAGACGCGATTTATTAAGCGTCACAAGGGATAGGAAGTTGTGGAGAGTCATGAGATTTGTAGGGAACATAATTCAAAAGCCAATAGGCTACCCTCTAGGCACTACCTCTCCTTCAAAAAGGGGTGGGGTCATTACTTGGCGTCTGATGCGAAGTGCAACGAAGAGAAGCAACTCGTCCCCATCTCCCTTGGACTTGTAGGTGTTGCAGACTCAGAGACAAACATCCCGGCTACACCATTCGTTTTTATTCAGCCCAACGATCAATGACGTGTTTAGGCAGCAGACCCACGACGTGTTTGACGTGTTTGTTTAGAAAAACCAACGATCAATGACGTTAGGTGGACCCCACGATAAATAATGTTTGAAAAACCAACGATCAATGACGTGAAAAACCAACGATCAATGACGTGCTTTGGACCCACGATCATTGCCATATTTAAGCAACCCAACGATCAATGACGTGTTTAGGCAGACCCCGACCATTGCCGTGTTTGACAGACCCGATCAATAATGGAAATTTCATTTGTATTTTTAGAAAACCAACGATCAATAATGTTTAGAAAAACCAACGATCAATGCTTAGGTGGACCCACGATCATTGCCATATTTAAGCAGCCCAACGATCAATGACGTGTTTAGGCAGACCCACGACCATTGCCGTGTTTAGACAGACCCACGATCAATAATGTTTAGAAAAACCAACGATCAATGACGTGCTTAGGTGGACCCACGATCATTGCCATATTTAAGCAGCCCAACGATCAATGACGTGTTTAGGCAGACCCACGACCATTGCCGTGTTTAGACAGACCCACGATCAATAATGTTTAGAAAAACCAACGATCAATGAATGCTTGGTGGACCCACGATCATTGCCATATTGGACCCAACGATCATTGCGCCATATTTACGTGTTTGACGTGTTTAGGCAGACCCACGACCATTGCCGTGTTTAGACAGACCCACGATCAATAATGTTTAGAAAAACCAACGATCAATGACGTGCTTAGGTGGACCCACGATCATTGCCATATTTAAGCAGATCAACGTTCAGTGACGAATCTCTGTAGACCAACCATCAATGCCATATTTAGGCAGACCCACGATCAATGACGTGCTTAGTTGAACCCACGATCATTGCCATGATTAAACAGACCGACAGTCAATGACGTGTTTATGCAAGCCAACGATCTAAGCCGTGTTTAGGCAAACCCATGACCAATGACGTGTTTACGGAGACCAACGATCATTGAAGTATTGAAGAAGGCTAATCAATGGAAAGTATCCAACAAGAACTGGAGTTATTGATGTTCTCATGTGCCACATCAAGGTCCTTGTATTTTGATAGTTTTTTCACGATCTTCAAAGATAAATTGAGTCTGCAGGGACTGCCATATCAGAAGGCAGATTTTGTTTTTGTGGTCTCTAATCACGATGTCCGGGAGATTAGCTTTGATTGATCTGCTTGTGTATTATTATTATTATTATTATTATTATTATTATTATTCACATTGCTCTTCCCTTTGTCTGCTTTTTGTCCTCCGCCTTCGTTTTTCTTCTTTTTTTGCTTTCTTATTCCTTTACCACTTCTTCTTCTTCTTCTTTTTCTTCTTCTTCTTCTTCGTCGTCGTCGTCGTCGTCGTCGTCGTATTCTTTACTTTCTTTTTCTTCCGATTTGTCCTCCCACTTCTTATTGTCCTCCTCCTTCTTATTATTTTCTTTTACTTCTCTTTCTTTGCTCTATTTCACTGCTTCACTTATTCATCGTTCTTCTTCGTCTTTCTTCTTCTTTCTTCTTCTTCTTCTTTCTTCTTCTTTCTTCTTTCTTCTTCTTCCTCTTTTCTTCGTCTTTCTTCTTCTTCGTCTTATATTTCTTTTCTTCTTCTTTTCTTCTTCTTCTTCTTTTCTTCTTCTTTCTTCTTTCTTTTCTTCTTTTTCTTTCTTCTTTTTTCGAATTTTTCTTCTTTTTTTTGTCTTTCTTCTTCTTTCTTTCTTCTTCTTCTTCTTCTTTCTTCTTCTCTTTTTTTCTTTCTTCTTCTTCTTTCTTCTTCTTCTTCTTTTCTTCTTCTTTCTTCTTTTTCTTCTTTTTTCTTTCTTCTTCTTTTTTCTTCTTTCTTCTTCTTTTCTTCTTTCTTTTCTTCTTCTTTGTTCTTTCTTCTTCTTCTTCTTTGTCTTTCTTCTTCTTCTTTTTTTCTTCTTTCTTCTTCTTCTTTCTTCTTCTTTTCTTTCTTCTTTTTTTCTTCTTCTTCTTCTTTTTTTTCTTCTTCTTCTTTCTTCTTCTTCTTCTTTCTTCTTCTTCTTTCTGAATTTTTTTCTTCTTCTTCTTCGTTCTTCTTTTCTTCTTTTTTCTTCTTCTTTTTTCTTCTTCTTCTTCTTTTCTTCTTCTTTTTTTTTCTTTTTTCTTTTTTCTTCTTCTTCTTCTTCTTCTTCTTCTTCTTCTTTTTTTTTCTTTCTTCTTCTTTTTTCTTCTTCTTCTTTTTTCTTCTTCTTCTTCTTCTTCTTTCTTCTTCTTCTTTTCTTTTCTTTTTTCTTGTTTTCTTCTTCTTTTGTTTCTTTCTTCTTCTTCTTCTTTTCTTTCTTCTTTTCTGATCTTCTTCTTTTCTTTTTTCTTCTTCTTTCTTCTTCTTTTTCTTCTTTCTTTTTTTTCTTCTTCTTCTTTCTTCATCTTTCTTCTAAAAATTTCTTTCTTCTTCTTCTTTTCTTTCTTCTTTTTCATCTTCTTCTTCTTTTTCTTCTTTCTTCTTCTTCTTCTTCGTCTTTCTTCTTTCTTCTTCTTTTCGTCTTTCTTCTTTTTTTCTTTTTTCTTCTTCTTTCTTCTTCTTCTTCTTTCTTTTCTTAATTTTTTCTTCTTCTTTTTCTTCTTCTTCTTCTTTCTTTTTTCTTCTTCTTTCTTCTTCTTTTTCTTTTTCTTCTTGATTCTTCTTCTTCTTCTTTCTTTTCTTCTTATTCTTTCTTTTTTCTTTTTCTTCTTCTTTCTTCTTCTTTTATTTTCTTCTTCTTTTCTTCTTTTTTTTTCTTGTCTTTCTTCTTCTTCTTCTTCTTCTTTGTTTCTTCTTCTTCTTCAGTCTTTTCTTCTTCTTTCTTCTTCTTCATTCTTCTTTCTTCTTCTTCTTCTTTTTCGTTTCTTTTCTTCTTCTTTCTTCTTTTTTCTTTCTTTTTTTTTATATTTCTTCTTCTTTCTTCTTCTTCTTTCTTCTTCTTTTTTTCTTCTTCTTTTCTTTTTTTTTCATTTCTTCTTCTTTTTTCTTTTTCTTCTTCTTCTTTCTTCTTCTTCTTCTTCGTCTTTCTTCTTTTTTCTTCTTCTTAATAAGGAAATCTTCTTCTTTTTTTAAAAATTTCTTCTTCTTCTTCTTAAGAGTTTTAAATCACGTTGAACCTTCTTTGTCTTTTTTTTTGATCTTAATTTTTCGCATAATTCTTCTTGGGCAGCGCATTCTTTATTGTGTTCTTCAACATAATTTTTAAAATTTTTTTTCTTCTTTTGATTCCTTTTTTTTCTTCTTATGAAAATGAATTTAGAATCTTCTTGTCATTCTTTTTTTTCACTTTTTCCAATAACATATTTATATCTAAAAATATCATTAAATTTTGATAAACTATTTTTTTGTTAATTTTTTCTTCAAATATTTCACTTCATCAACCAATTTCAAAGTTTAAGGATATTTGTTCTATGTCTGATAAAACAAAACACAAACGAGAATTAAAATCTATAAAAAATTTGAATATATGGAATATCAAAAGATTTTATTTCAGCTATTTTTTATTCTGGTTTTCAAATTTTTAATTTTTAAACATTCAAATATATGAATATATATTTTTTTATATATATTGAAAATAAAAATTTTTTTTTTATTTTTTTCCACTATTCAAAATTTTTGATCCCGATAAAAATAGGAAAAAAAAATATTTAGGTAAAAAAACTTTTTTTTTTTTTTTTTGAAACAAAAATATAAAGAAAAATTTTATTATAAATATATATAAAGAAATTTTTATATTTTAATTATAAGAAAAAAGTAAAGATGTGGGTTTTAATAATATATAATGTCAATGATTCCTACATTATATAAAATGGACTATTATAATTTATATTTGATCTTATGGTTTTAAAATTTTACAAAAATGGATTTTGAAAATCATTTTAAACTGGAAAAAAGGAAAGAAAAAAAAAAAAAAAGAAAAAAAAAAAAAAACGTTTTTAACGTCTCATGCCAATACCACATTTTTGTTGATAGAAATATTCCATTTTGATTTGCATATTTTGTTTGAAGGAAATTTGAATTTGATACGTGAGAAAAAAAAAAATTATGAAAAATTCTGATGAGAATAAAACCTGAAATATTGTTTCAAATGTAGTGAAAAGAAATAAAATTTTAATTTTGGATATATTTTCTATATATATATAAATAATTCGATTTTATGACAAATCCATTTTATGAATTCCTGAAGAAAGAATAAGCAAAGAACACAGATTAAAAATAAATGCTTTTTATGAAAAGACTAAAAAAGAAAAACAAAAGAAGGACTCACTAAAATATTAAATTTATCTGCTGTAAAAATCAAAAATAAAGAAAATAATTTAAATAGTTTCTCAAAACAAATTTTTAAAATTGACATTTTGAATTCAGAAATTTTTTCTGTGAAAAAATTGGGACTTTAATAAAGAATTATAAATATTTTAATTATAAAAAAATAAATAAAAAAAAGTACAAAGAAAAAGAAAGGATTTAATTAAAAATCCATTTTTAAAAAATTTTAAATTTTTTTAAAATTTTTCATTCCATATCAAAATAAAAAAAGAAAAACACGAACGGATTCATTTCTAAAAAAATTTTTAATTTATATATTTTTTCAAAGAATGAATTTAAGAAAAAAAAGATGTTTTTTTTAATAACCAAACCTCGTAAAATTGCAT